CCTATTATATTTTTAATAGCTCCCATCGTTAAGGATGTGCCAAGACCTGTCAGTGCCCCAAAGAGGAGGATCTTAGTCAGCATCTAGACTCAGGCTGACTGGGAACCAGACCCCTAGGCATTAACTTTTTAAAGTAGGCAAATATATACAGTCCTGTGAGACCGTAGGCATAAGCCCAACCAGCCAGCAAAGCCAGGTGATCTGGAGGTGTCCACTGAGCGCAGTCACAAAAATAGGGGTTCAAGATGAGTGTATAAGCCCTTTTCTGGGTCGTACCACTGAGCTGGAGAAGGGCAGAGTGCTAGCCAAGATGGTGTCCATAGTCTATGTTCCTTGAGAGCCACTCAACCCAAAATGTGTGCTGGGTCTAGAGTCCTCCCAGGACAAGCAACCTGCCTCTTCTTCACAGAAAGAGAAGGGAGTGGGGGGTGGGGAAATGCTTGTCTATGTGGTTTTCTTGGGGTGGCAGCCTGCCAAGAACTGTCTCCCCTGTTGCCACAGTGTTGCCACAGTCTCGTGGAACCCAAAAGTGCGAAGTAATCAAGGGTGTCCCTCCGGCACAGAACATGTGTAAAGTTCCCTTTCAGGGGATAGTGTTGCTCTGAAGTGCTGCAGAGCCTGAAGGTGAAGATAGCGCCTACCCTCTGAGATTCCTAGAAAGGATTACAGATGTATGTTTAATTAGAAACCTGCCCCTCAGGTGTAGATGATGATTAGCTAAAGGCCTCTTTTTTTTTTTTTTTAATTTATTTATCTGACAGAGAGTCACAGTGAGAGAGGGAACACAAGCAGGGGGAGTGGGAGAGGGAACAGCAGGCTTCCGGAGGAGCAGGGAGCCCGACATGGGCCTCGATCCCAGGACTCTTGGATCCTGACCTGAGCCAAAGGCAGATGCCTAAAAACTGAGCCCTCCAGGCGCTCCAGGTACAGGCTTCTTAGAAAGACCAAGCTCCTGGGTAAGAACTCTTTCTCCTTTGGTTACAGTCCTCTGGGACACATGAACATAAGCTCCATGGGCCACAGGAGGTGTCCCCTTGTAGCACTGCCAAAAATAGGGGTGCCAGACGGGGTGACTGGGTGACACGGATTCTTACAGTCCCATGTGACCAGGAGCACAAGTTCCCCGCTGGCCTCCAGAGCCAGGTTATCAGGACGCATCCGCTAGACAGCTGGGGCTGCAAAAACCCGGGCACCAGCTGAGGATAATAAACACCAGGTTTACTGAAACGCTCCAGCTCGGGAGCACACCAAGATGGCGCCCACCAGCTTCCGGTCGGTGCTTGTTGCTGAGGTGTGTGTGTGAGGTGTGTGTGGCTGCCACTCAGCCACCTACGTTCTAATATAAGCGGGAGCGCCTCCTCGGTCGAAGTCCGGGGACCATGGGCTGCTGGAGCTGGGCCCTGCACGGGTGAGTCCAAGTGCAGGCCCCTTGAGAGCCCTTTCTCGCACGGCCGTCGCGTGGGGCTGGGGATGCTAGCCTCCGCTGGTTTGAAGGGTTGGATGTTTTGGGGGCTTGTCTTTCAAGTATGTGTCTGAAAATTGGGATGCCGGATGTGGGGTTTGAACGCACAGCTACTCAGGGAGAGGCTCGGGGTTTTCAGTTCCCTCCTGGTGGTGGGTCCCACCCCTTCCCCCCAACCCCCACCCCACCCCCACCGTCACCCCAGCGGTGGGGGCCCGGCGGTGCCCAGCCTCGCCTACCCGCCTCGGTGACCTGGTGTGCCCCCAGCCAGCCCTTAGGTTTCTGTCAGAGAAAGTTGTTCCAGATGGAGCTGTAACCCTGGGTATCTGTGGGAGGAGGGGCGTGAAACAGCTTCTCAGGCGTCACCTTGAACCGGAACTCCAAAGTGATCTTTCAGGTGGATGCTTTTTATTAGCTTTATCTCAACGTGTTTTCATTTTCCTTCCATTCTCTTTTTTTTTTTTTTTTAAGATTTTATTTATTTACTTGACAGAGAGAGATCACAAGTAGACAGAGAGACAGGCAGAGAGAGAGAGAGGGAAGCAGGCTCCCTGCTGAGCAGAGAGCCCGATGCGGGACTCGATCCCAGAATCCTGGGATCATGACCTGAGCCGAAGGCAGCGGCTTAACCCACTGAGCCACCCAGGCGCCCCATTTTCCTTCCATTCTTAAAGTGGTTTTTACAAACTATAAAACCGAGGTCCCCCCACCCCCCCACGCCTCCCGGACCTTTACAATGAGATTTGATTGTCCTCTGACCTCCGTTTTTTGTCTGAATTGAAGTCAGACGTTCTTCTCTTTGCTGCCCTCTGTTTAATGTGTATTTACTCCTCTTACTTCTTTCAGGCGTGCTGTTGAGCTTTTTTATTCAACAGTTTGGCTGTGGTATATCTAGGTGGTTGTGTGTGTTTGTGTGTAGGTTGTGTTACCTGTTTGGGGTTTGTTGAGAGTCTTCAATTTGTAGTTTAATAAGTTATATCACTAAATTTGGAGAAAAATCAGCCTTTTTCTACCCAACTTTCTGCACCACTTTCTGATCATTCTGGAAATCCTATTTCATAATTGTTGGGTCACTTGGTGCTGTCCCACAGGAGGCTGCTCAGGTTATGTTCATTTTTTTCAGTCCCTTTCTCTGTTTTAGTTTTGATAATTTTGATCTATGATTATTTTGAGTTATCTTATTTCACTGACCTCACTCCTAATTGGCAGTTTCCAATCTGCTGTTAAGGCCATCTACTGAATTCTTTATTTCAGATTGTACTTTTTAGTTCTAGAATTTCTATTTGCTTCTCACTTAATGTAAATAATTTAAATTTAATTTAGCTTGTAATTTTATTAAAAATTTAAAATTCCACTTTTCTGGTGAGCTTCTTCATCTTGTTCACTCTTTTCCTTTCACACTGCTTTCCTCTTTCCCTTTGTCCCTGAAAATACTTATAATGACTGTTACAGTAATTGTTATAAAATTCTTGTCTGCTAATTCTAATATCTGTGTATCTATGGACCTGTTTCTATTGGCTGATTTTTTTTTTTTGGCTGTTTTTTTTTTTTTTTTCTTATGGATGATATTTTTCTGCTGCTTCATATGTCTGGCAAATTTTTTTTTCATTTTATTTTATTTATTTATTTGACATAGATCACAAGTAGGCAGAAAGGCAGGCAGAGAGAGAGGAAGGGAAGCAGGTTCCCTGCTGAACAGAGAGCCCGATGCGGGGCTCGATCCCAGGACTCTGGGATCATGACCTGAGCCGAAGGCAGAGGCTTTAACCCACTGAGCCACCCGGGTGCCCCTGTCTGGCAAATTTTTGTGAGGTTTTCTTTTTTCCTTTTTTTTTTTTTAAGAGTTATTTATTTATTAGAGGGAGCATATGGGTCAGTGGGAGAGGGGCAGAGGGAGAGGAAGCCACTCCCCTCTGAGTGTAGAGCCTACAGCCTGAGCCCCCAACCCAAGCCAAAAGCAAGAGTCAGTTTCTTAACTGACTAAGCCACCTAGGCACCCCTGTCTGACAATTTTTAATATGTCATTCATTCTGGAGGATCTATTTCAGGAAGTCTTGGTATTGTTGAGTGTTGAGTTTTGTTCTGACAGGAAGTTAAATCACTGGAAGATTCTCTTGATTGTCTCAGGCTTGGTTTTAGACTTTTCTAGAGTATAATTTGTTGTGTTCTTTACTCAATTTGTGATTTTTTTTTTTACTCTTTTTGGTGTGTCCTTCCGGAACATCAGTTGAATGCCAGAGGTACTGAGAGCTTTGTCATCTCTGGATGTACTGGAACTTCGGTGTCTGTTAGTACTGATTGACATCTGGTATCTCCATTCACCTCTTTATCCCCAGAAGCCATTCTTGTTAGCCTCATGGAATTTTATCATGCATGCAAGCAACCCAGCCCTTTGCAAGTACTTAATAAGAACGTTTATTTACACAGACTTGTGCACCTTCCCTCATACATCTTCTTCATCTCTAGAACACTGTTGGGCAAATTCCAGCTCACTAATTTCCCATTTAGAAACAGTTGTGCTTCAAAGTTCACATATCTAGAGCAGAACACAGTATTTCCTTTTTTAATTCTCTCTTCCTTCTCTGCTCCTGTGCTCTGTAGGTGACAAAACCCCACTATCTAATCTCTCTTTGACCACAAGCTCAAGTCAATTTGTCTTTGTCTTTCCCCTGTTTATCACCATGGCGACAATCTTAATTTCTCAATTGTCCTCAATTTTATGGTATCACAGCACTTTGCTAATACTACCAATAGAACTTATTTTTTTATTATAATACGGTGCCCAGCATTCAATAAATAATTGTTAATGTATGAAGGAATGAATGGGTATTGTGTTTGTATCTGCCTGACCTTTTGAGCAGGAACAATAAAATATAGGGCACGTAATCAGGTATTTAATAACTGTTTACTGAGTGAATAATGACATTATAAAGTTATTAATTTTTTTTTGCATAAACACATTAGGTCATTGGGAGTTAATATGTTATGTCTTCATGTCATGTTCAGTTCTTTCCAATTTACCTTAAACCATTTTTAGGGAAGACAAGGCAGGAAAAGTCTATATGCAAGTATGCTGAAATAGTGGACCATCTTATATGCAAGACCATTTAGTTTTCTTTCAGCAACAAGAACAATAAAAGCAAGAAATATTTGTACAGTCACAATTTTTAGTTTTGCAGATGTTCTCAGTTCTTAAAAGGCTGAGAAGTACATTTAATGAATTAATAGGAATAAACAAACATAATTGTAGACATTTGTGCTATGCCAGAGATGTAAAATTTATTGTATGATCATCAAGAAGCTCCTCAGTTTCCAGAAAGATATCACCCAACACTGGAAACAGAACTCCCAAAGCACCCAAAGAAAGATAAACTTTAATATGGAGGAAATGAAAAACTTTGGGAAGCCAATAGCATCCACCTATTCAAATTGCCCTTGATTACTAATATCTACCACATGGCCAGTCTCTTGGTTTCTTTTTGAGCCAGGGTTGGCAGGGATAACGTCATCCTTGTTCCAACTTGGAAAGCAGAGGCAGTTAGTTGCAGGTACAGAGACAGGTGAACACTAAAGCTTCTGGGTTGATTCTTTCAAAGTCAGGCACAGAGCAAAGCAGCCATCATTCAGCAGCAGCTTGAGATGCAGGGCTCACAGGAGGGCTGAGTGAAGGTCGTGAGGTTGATGGTCTCCAGGCCTGGGGTGGGGTGGCAGGAGTTGAGCAGGAAGCAGGTGGGCACACAGGGCTGAGGAATGTGGCAGGGTGGGGGGCAGTTGTCACAGCAGGTTGGCTCCAGTAACCAAGTGGTGTGAGGGCAGGTGCTGGGCAGGCAGACTCCGCACCGGCAGCATTTGTCAGAGGAGCAGATGGTGGTGGCGGGGCCGGTGGGGACGCTGCAGCAGCAGGGAACACAGCAAGCCATGGTGTTGGGAATCTGTTTTTAATTGATTTGCTTGTAACGACAGATGAGGCTTCTAAGGTGTGAATGTCTCCTCTTGCTTTGAGGCTCTTATATACCCTCCCTAGTGGGTGTTGGTCCAACCAGAAGGCTTCTTTCCTGGTTCTTGTTTATATTAGTGTATCCATTATCCTTTGATTGGTTTGACATTTAGATGCTTTTAAAGAGTCTCTATTCTCCTAATTAACATTTATTTGAATTCCTTGCTAAATCTGAACTGATTACTCTTGCTATTTGTGACTGGAACACAAGCTTTATGACGTATCACCAAAAGCTTCTGCTATTACAATTCCAACACCAGACTTTCTGGGGAATATTGCACAATAGTATACCTGTAGTTTGTAGGTCTTATCTCTAGTCATGGTTTAGTGTTTATTCTCTTTGCCTCTGTCTGTATCACTTGGCCTGATGATGTATTCTTGTTTGGAAAAGTTGAACTTAAGTTTAGTAACTTTCTTTTAGCTTTGGGACTTTAAAAAAATTACTTAATTTTTTGTTGAGATATATAATCGACATGGAACATTGTATTAAATGTTGGGACTTTCGAAGATCGTACTTATATTAATATGGAGAAATACACTATTGAGAAACATGGCAAACTTTTAAAGACACCTATTATTCCATTTTTTACTCTAAATATTATATATTTAAAAATTTGGACAAAATAGGAAAGTATAAAGAAAAATTGCTCATATTCTTATCAAGAGATATTCTCTATGAATATTTACATATATGCCTCTAGTCATTTTCCTATTCATTTATTATTATGTTACTGGAATCATACCTACTTTTCTGTAACTTGCCTTTTGCTTAAACATATATATTTTCATTATCTTGTATTCTTAAATATATTTGATAATGTTATTCTTAGGGTATCCTAGTATGCATCATACAGTTACACATCTAAGTTACTTAAAAATTTCATATGATTAGGTTATTTGCAAGGTGGTAATTGTGGCAGTAGTAACAACTGTGGATAGAAGTCTTTATGCACATTTCTGACCATTTCAGGAACAGACTTATTGGGTAGAATTATTGGAACAATATTTTAAGGCCTTTGATAGTCATTGCCATACTGCCCTTCAGAACAGTTCTTTTTGTCTCTATTTATGCATTCTCACTAGCTGTATTTGAGAGTTGCTGTTTCCCTATACTGTTTCTGATGGATATTTTATTTTAAAAGTGTTTTGCCAACTTAGTGGGTAAAAATGAAATTTCATTATTGTTGTATTTGTATTTCTTTTATAATGCGTTAAGTTGAGACAGTCCTTCATATGTGTATTGATTATTTATCTCTCTATTGAGAAATGGCTTGCTTTGTTTCCTTCATTAACTGTTAAGTGTGGGGAAAGTTGAATTTGTAGCTTATATCTACATCCTAAGTAAAAGAATAATTCAAGACACACTACTAATATTCACATGAAATTACTAACAGTAGAAAATGAAGATAAGGGTCTAAGTTAATCTGTATATATTTTATTTTATTTTTCCAGTGTAGTGCATTTTCTTCCCAAATCAGTTGTTTCTGTGGTAGGAAGGACCTGGACTCTTTAGTTCCAGTACACTGTTTAGGCTTTAGATATGGTTCAGTGTTTAAGAGGGAACACACAGTAGGCTTCTGTGCAGGATCATCCCGACCTTCACACCATTCCACTCAACTTTGACTCACTCATACTTCAAGCCATGATTCTTCTCACTTGCTCCCCACCTCTTCCTTTAAGTATACCTGTGTATCTGTGCATTTTGGGGGAGCGCGTCTATATGGTTTTCCTGGATGGCGTGTAGATTCAAAAGGACCATATTAGGAGTCAGAAAGCTCTTTATTAATCCCAGTCCTGCTCATTGTCTTCCTTGTTATGGTAAGTCATTCACATTCTAGAGCTTCATCCTTTCTCCTTTGCAAAATAAGAATCATAATATCTACATTCTTTTACTTGGAAGATTATTTTCCATAGACAATCATAAAGTGCTACACAAAGATAATCATTATCCAAGTAAGTTGCAGATCAAATTCGAAGTAAGGAAAAGGAGAAATAACCAGTCTAAAGAAAAAAAAAAACATAGCTGCAGACAAGTAGAAGAGGAACCCTATAGGAAACAGCAAGCATTTATTTGAAGGTTCATACCTACAATTAAAACAGCTGGCACATAAATTAATAAAATTTAAATTTAAGAAAGTACTCTATGACTCGGGAAAAAAGGATTTGTAATCTCTGCTGGTGTCCCTGGACTTCAACCAGATTTATCTTTGAGTGAATACCTGCCAAATTGCTCATTCTTTTACTTAGGACTGACTAACATTTTCAGTATTTTAAAAATAATTTAATAGACATTTATTGAGCACTTCCCACGTGCTAAGCACTGTGATAAATTTTAGATACCTAACCATGAACAAAATAGATCTCATTCTTGCTCTTGTGGAACTTGGAGTTTGATGGAAGGTTTATCATGCACATATTATTTTAAGTTGCTGTTATTATACATTATGATAGGAAGGGTTCTAAGAGCATAAACATTAAAAGCAGAAGGAAATTATTTTAACATACTAAGAAAAACAGTATAGGGAGGTTTTCAGATTCTCACAGAATTTCCTGGCAGAAAGAGATCACTCTCATTTAGAATGTGGTGTTACTTTGAGTTAGGCTTATAAAGATAAAGAAATTATTACTGTTCTGTGTAGAATGTTATGTTTTCACAATTATAAATATTTAAAGTTATAGATTAGAAGCAGTTTTAAAGTAATACGTTTATGATAGTAAACTCATCTCTTTTATTGAAAAGACTTGCGGTGCTTTATTAAATTTTTTTTCTTTGCCAGGGTCTAAGAGACCTGGGAATAACTCTCCTTTGTTCGTAAATTAGGACAGTGAATCCTAGAGCGGTGAGGTAATTTGCCTTAGGTGGCTGGTGACTGACTTGTTATAAACTAAATATAGGACCTATTGAGATTGAGCTACCTTTTTGTGGTTTAACATACAAGTTTAAAGTATGTGTCAGAGATACTAAACATTTTATTTTAAGAAACAAAATTCACCTTTTTCCTTTAAGCAAATGCAGGAAAAACGTGGTGATTCTGATTAGATGGTAGATTTTCAAATTGCTGAAAATCTGCATACATGTACACATGCACCTGCGCACACACACAAGTACTTGCCTAATTTTAATTATGCCATCTATAGTCAGTGGAGGTGTGGGGAAGGAGAAAATTCTTCCTCTACCCTTGAAGGTCTTCCAGTTGGCCTAAGAATTAAATTTACATGAGAGAGATTAACAGGAGAAAACACCAAAGTTTTATTATGTGCTCATGGAAGGCCAATAATGAAATTGAGACCTAAAGAAATGACTAAGGTGGGCAAAGAGACAGTACGTGAGAAACTGGCAGGTCAAAAAAAACCTTAACTTTGGGAACTTCAAATAGTAAGGAATTGTAAATGGAATTTGGGCTATGGTAGTAAATTAGGAGCAAGTAAAAGGTAGCAAGGTTTGTTTATATACATCCTTCTCAGCTTTACATTTCTTATCTCTGGTAATGATGAGGATGTGTCTTTACCTCCTAATACAGGGAAGGTATCTTTCACAATGGAGATTTATTTCCTGCTTTCACAGGGACAAAGGAGGATCTGGATGTCCTTGCATAGGCTGTCTCTGAAGTAATTTTTATTTAAAATAATCAGTATAAAAAATTAGTATGCCAGAGTGGCACATCTTGAGGTAGCCTGCCCTTGGCCCTACAGGGGTATCTGTGATAGTGAAGACCTAAATCAAAGGTTGATAATAAAAAGAAACAAAATAGGATTGTTAGTTTCTTGCTTCAAATCTCTCTTTGCTTGGAGGTTTCAGTCTTAAAACCCTTTGCTTAGGGAGCCCCAACCTCAGGGTCTTTGCATTTCTTCTCTCCTCCTCCCCTCACTTCTTCTCCCCATCTTCAGTGGACTCAATCCATGAGTTAGTAAGCTGCTGTTGTGTCTGGAACAGCATCTCCCCTCCTCTCCTGCCTTGTCATCTTCTAATTTTTAGCCTCGATAGCTCAGAGGCTTTCCATAACTATCCCTCACCCTGACACTGAATCACCAGATCTGGGTTTTAGTTCCTCTGTGTGCTTGCATGCCATGCTGCTCACATCAGTCACAGCAGGATCCACATGGCATTACACATATATTCATATGCTCATGTAAAACACATGTATTGTGATTACAATAACTGGTTTGTCTTAGGGTTCCTGGGTGGCTCAGTTTATCGAGGATCTGACTCTTGGTTTTGGCTCATTTCATGATCTCCTGGGTCATGAGATTGTATATTGGGCTCTATGCTCAGTAGGGTGTCTGCTTGAAGGTTCTCTTCCTCTGCCCCTCCCCCCGCTCTCTCTCTAAAATAAACAAATACTTTTTTTTAAAGATTTTATTTATTTCCGGGGGTGGGGTGGTAGAGAGTGAGAGCACAAGCAAGGGGAGCAGTAGGCAGAGGGAGAAGCAGGCTCCCTCCTGAGCTAGGAGCTCAATGTGGGACTTGATCCCAGGACACTGGGATTATGACCTGACCTGAAGGCAGACACGTAACTGACTGAGCCACCCAAGCACCCCAAATTTAAAAAAAAAAAAACAAAAAAGACAGCTTGTCTGCCTCCCTCATCAGATTTGAGAGAAACTTGAGGACACTCAAGGTAATAACATTTCTTTTATCTTTACAATCCTAACACAGATATGGTGCCTGGCACAGGGGAAGCACTCATGAAATACTGGCCAAGTGAATGAATGAATGGACTAAATTCCTTGTTGGTATTATTGTAGCCTGAATCCATGTACCCCATGGCTGCTAAGTTCTGTTCATTCAAACCACTAATAAGCCTGTGAGATTGTCTGAGAAATCCCTCTCTGGAGAGACTGACAAACACACTAAGGACATTGAGAAACATATTTATTTAAAGGCTTTTATTTCTTCCCTTCCTTGCCCTGCCTTTTTCTTTT